CGCTCGCGGGCCCTGCTGCGGACGCCAGCCTTGAGGAGGACGGCAACCTTCTCTCAGGCGCTCGTTTGTGCCGGAGACACGGGTTAGCAAACTCAACAACGGCCTGCATGTGGCCTCGGAGCAGTCCTCCCAGCCCACTTGCACGGTGGGAGTGTGGATTGATGTTGGCAGCCGTTTTGAGACTGAGAAGAACAACAGGGCAGGCTACTTTGTGGAGCATCTGGCTTTCAAGGGAACAAAGAATTGGCCTGGCAGTGCCCTGGAGAAGGAGGTGGAGAGCATAGGGGCCCATCTTAATGCCTACAGCACCTGAGAGCACACAGCTTACTACATCAAGGCGCTGTCCAAGGATCTGCCAAAAGTTGGGGAGATCCTGGGTGACACTGTGCAGAACTGTAGTCTGGAAGACTCACAGATCGAGAAGGAACGTGATGCGATCCTGCGGGAGATGCAAAAGAATGAAGCCTCTGTGCGAGACATGGTCTTTGACTACCTGCATGCCACAGCATTCCAGGGCACATCTCTAGCCCAGGCTGTGGAGGGGACCAGTGAGAATGTCAGGAAGCTGTCCCGTGCAGACTTGACTGAGTACCTCAGCAGGCATTACTGGGCCCCTCAAATGGTACTGGCAGTGGCGGGAGGAGTGGAGCACCAGCTGCTGTTAGACCTTGCCCAGAAGCACCTCGGTGACATCTCTTGGCAGTACCCAGAGGATGCTGTGCCCACTTTTACTCCATGCCGCTTCACTGGCAGTGAGATCCACCACCATGATGACACACTACCTTTGGCCCATGTGGCCATTGCAGTAGAGGGTCCTGGCTGGGCCAGCCCAGACAATGTGGCCTTGCAAGTGGCCAATGCCATTATCAGCCACTATGACCGCACTTATGGTGGTGGCGGGCACGTGTCCAGCCCACTGGTTTCAATCAGTGTGGCCAAAAAGCTGTGCCAGAGTTTCCAGACCTTCAACATCTGCTATGCAGAGACGGGCTCGCTGGGTGCACACTTTGTCTGTGACCGAATGAAAATCGGTGACATGATCTATGTGCTGCAAGGCCAGTGGATGCGCCTGTGTACCAGTACCATGGAGAGTGTGGTGGCTTGGGGCAAAAACATCCTCAGAAATGCCCTGGTATCTCAGCTAGATGGCACTACTCCCGTGTGTGAGGACATCAGACGCAGCCTCCTGACCTACGGCCACCGCATTCCCCTGGTTGAATGGGAAAGCCGAATTGTGGAGGTAGATGCCAGTGTGGTGCGTGAGATCTGCTCCAAGTAGTTCTATGACCAGTGCCCAGCAGTGGCTGGATATGGCCCCATCGAGCAGCTCACAGACTACAACCGGAACCGTAGCAGCATCTTCTGGCTGCGCTTCTAGGCGGGAAGCCTGTGTAAGCAAGACGGCGGGGCTGGGGCTCGTGGTCCCTCCAGCACAAATAGCACTCTGGCTCCTCCAACCTATGCCACAGGTGACCATCAATAAAGTCCTCTGCTGAGAAAAAATAAAAAATAAATAAATACACAGAAAATAATCACACATCAGGTAGTAAAAAGAAAAATAAAAGAAGACAGAGAGTAATCGGGGATGGCAGTGCTATTTTAAAGAGTGGCATGGAAAGACCTCTCTGGTATTGCAATGTCTGAGCAGAAACTAGAAAAGTGGCATAGTGAGCCATACGGATATTGGACATTCAAAATATTTTCAGAAAAAAACAAAACTCTGGGATGAAGTAATCAAACAAAACATTATTGAAAACTCAGCCATCACCAGCCAGCCAATGCAAGTGAAGCTTAAAGAATTTGCCCAGTCTTTTGCAAGAAGATATAGAATTTCAGATTTTAGAGCAAGGGGAGTTTAGGCATGACTGGCTCACACATGACAGACCAGTGATTTTCAGAGCTACTAACAGAAACCAACCCAAATTTTCTAGATGACTTCAAAGTTGTTACAACTCCACTGATACATCATTCAATTAAGGGGAAATGTGTAAGTTAAACAGGAAATAAAGACAAAACTCTCTAGCTTTCTATTTTTTCATCACAGCATGGGTTAAGACAATTAGCCCGTCACTACAATGCTCTGCCTAAGAGCCAAGGCTCAAAAATGGTTCAGAACACTCTTTAGGGTCTAACCTCGGAGGCAGCTTAGAAAAAAAAATCCCTAGGGTACTAAAGAGATGAAATGCAACTGTATGGATGAATCTAATCTATGGTCAGTTAATTCGAGGGGAAAAACATACATATGTATAGTATATATGCACACATGTGTAAGTATATAGCACATATATAGTATGTGTGTGAGTGTATATGTATAGAACTCAGCTTTTTCACCCCCAAAGCATGTTTTTAAATCCATCAAGTAACTGTAAATAACGGCTTTCTCAATCAAGATCCACAATATCCCAAAGAGCAGCTGCTGGAGTTTAGAAAATATGGAACAACCCAGCTACAATGTATTAACACATCAACATGAATAAGAAAAAAAATTATTGCGTGTTGCAAGCCACTAAGGCTTTGGGGTGAACTGTTAACAGCAGTTTAGTCTAGTTGACTGATACAGAAAGACAACAAGTCTTGGCTCCAGAAAAGCCTAGCTGGTCCTTCCATTCTGCCCCAGTTCCGGCCCTCACTTCCCAGCTCCACTTGTGCACCAGCCCAGCCCCTACCTTCTAGCCCACACTCAAACCATATCCAGCCTTGAGTAATCTTTCTAAACTATAGATGTGACAGCCATTCCCCTGATTATCAAAAATTATGGCTCCCCAGCTGTACTTGTTTTTACTGAAGAACCCAGACTGGCAGGCACATGAGCAAGGATCTTAGGTATCACAACAAAGCTAGAAACGGCTTCTGTGACTTTTCTGTGCTCAGGTACTTGATTTTTAAAATGCCTATTTTACACATTAATCCAAAACATGCATTTATTTTGTGAATTAGATTTAGTAATTCTGGAAATTGCACCATGCCAACGCTATGGCTCTGAGCATCCATTAGCACTCTGTGAGAAAACATCCCAGGGTGAAGAAACATCACTGAAGTACAGGCTTATGAAGATGAATTAAGTCCTTAACAAAGACCTCTTAGCCCTGCCTGCCGACTTCACTCTCTCCCACAACCCCTCCACACTCCTTAACTTCAGCTCACTGGCCATCTCCCCAGTGCTGCAACTCGAAAGGCTTCTGCTCACTGTGATCCCTGTGCCTCATATGCCTTCACTCATTTCTACTTTTCAGGCCCAGTAAGTCACCTGCTCTGAATTTGCACACTCCCCCATGCAGAGGTGACTCCCTCCTCAGGGCTCCCACAAGACACCCAGGCTCTATCCGCAGTTCCTTGTTTCCATTTCTGTCCCACACCTTCGCCCCATCCATCTCTTACCTTTACATGTAGGATACGAAGCACGTCACATTCCCACTGGGTGACTAAACACACGTCTGCTGCTGAAAAGTAGGGACTGGACCCAGAGGATGACCAAAAGGTTTTCTCTTCAGAACTGGGTGTTCTGTCAGCTCATCTCCATAGCATCTTCCAGAGATAATTCTCCCTCAGTTAAAGGCTTACCAAGAGACTTTAACTACAAGCAGTTCAACCCCATTTGATGACAATGAAGAACACTCATTTCAAAAAAATTTATTTATGATTCTTTTGTTAACACCACACAGGAGGGGCTTCGGTCATGTGAATGAAAAATTTATTTCTTAAAAAAGGCTTTTGAGGTCTTTGTTTTTCAAGGCAAATTAACACTTATTATATGTTTGACTTTGACCTCCAATCTGACAGGTCTACTGTCCTGATGAGCTGGAAGAGACTTTCCAGGCCCTGAGAATGTCTTTTCCTTTCTCCAGTCTCTCAAAGCTCTTTGTAGACTGTCTCTTCAGTGCCATTCTCTGAAGGCCCTGTAACGTGTGAGGGTATTACAACAGTCCATACTCACTGCCTTGTCATGTAAGGTCAGCTATGTCGTCTAAATCAACTTACCTGACAGATTACACAATATACATCAGACAATGTGCCACAAAACATAGCTCTCCTCTTTCATCTCACAGAGGAACGAAAGTTCCAAAATATGTACAAAACCACTTCCATCTCCAACTGTCTTCTCGGTCTTCCCAGCTTTATGCAAAGCAGTCTTATTAATACATTCTTCACGAGGCTCAACCAAGTAGTGCAGTGCCTTCCCCTGCACCTCTAAAGTTGGAAGATTCTGATCCCAAGTCTTGACGTGTTCCAAAAAACAATCAGGTCACAAAGGTAACAGCAAAATACAAGGCCATGCCCACATTTCAAAAGCACAGCAAAGTAATAAGAATAAACGTGACCGCGAAAACAACTTTTGATTGAGCCCCGTTTTTCTTACAACAGTATTTCTCCCACGAAAGTTATCCTTCCAGAACCAAATACATTTGATGATGTAAACCTATATCGAGGTTATCAATCACTGACCATAAGGGAGACTATTACATGGGGGTGAACAATATACAAAAACAAAACAGAGAAGATGACAGGCTGTTTCAGTTTCCTCAGTGTCAGTTCATCCTTACCAGTTGACTATAGTTCTCAACTGTGAACCTAAAGCACAACTGAGAGAAATTTACCATGAAAAGTTCCATACCCTGATGTTAACCACTCAGAAGAATGCCACTTCTTTGAGACAGGGTCTTCTGACATACCTGCCTCATAGAACAATCTGGAAATTTGAGGTAATGTCCTCTGGCTTTACTCTTTCTTTCTCTTTCCCTGCGTTCTCACCCTGCGTTCCATTTTGCTCTACGGCCTAGGCTTTCTTTGGCTTTCCCCAAACTCCCTTAATGCCTAGACATATCTACTGGCGACCGACCTATTAGAATTGACTTTCATGTTTCACAAACCCGAAGTTACTTTTATTTTTCTCTATCAGTGTGGGAGGGAGAGGCCATAAAAAAACAGTATACTAACACCTAACAAAACCAGCACGCATTCTTTCCTCTTGACCCCAACTTCGTTCCCAATGCTGAATTTTTGATGCAATAAAACGGGGGGTGCAGGTCTAGGATATAACTTTTGACAGGGCGCGGTTTCACACCATGCTTAGGGCGACTACTGAGTCCCATCCATTCTCCCGCTAGTTTCGGACCTTACCACCGATCTCCTCCTTCAAGACTCACTTCTCTCTATTCGCCAGACGAGCTCGACCAGCATCTGTGCCATCTTCGCGATCTCCTTGGCCTTCTCCTCGGCCTTCTCGCACAACTCCGACACTCTCTCGTCGGCTTCGCCACTGGGGTGCTGCACCTGGTTGAGGGCGCTCTCCTCCGAGGCCTCCACCTGCGTTTTGATCTGGATGAGCATGTTGTCCATCTCCCACAGCTTGCTCCTGGTGCGCAGGTACGCCCGCCCGTGCTCGCGTATCAGAGACGCGATGTCCTCGCGCATCTCGTTGATGACCGGGAGCAGGAACTGCTCGAAATCCTCCTCGGGCTCCAGCACCTCCACCTCCTCCGGCGCTTCCACCTCGTCGACGTCCAGGGGCCGCATCTCCTCCTGCCGCTTCTTTAAGACCGCTGTAGTGACGTTCTCCTCACCGGACCCCCCCGGGGGACTGCAGATCTGGAGTTACTGCTGGAGTCTAAGCGACCCACACGCTTTGTCCGTAGTACTCCCGAATTATCTTTAATTTTTTTCTTCCTTTTAATTGTAAGCCTTTCCCTTCAGAGCTCTGTGGGAAGAAACGTCGTGGACGGACACAGCGCAGCGGCCAACAAAATGGAGAAGCAGCCGTCAACTCGCCCTCCGCCTGTTTGCGGCCCTTTCACGACAGGGCCGGGCCACTTTACGGTCACGCCTTCCGCAGGACCAGGTGGCGGGCGGGAGCTCCCCCTTCACCACTTGCTTCGCAGCGCTCCGCTTCGCTTTCTTCTCTAAAAATTAGATCGCTGGCGGCAGGTTTGTTCGCGTCTTCCTCGGAAGCCTCCCTTCAGAGGGCTTTTACTTTTATAATTTTTTTAAGTAAAAGTGACCCCCCCATCCCTCTATTTGAATAAGACTGGCTGGCGTTCACAGCCCTTGCTATCTAAACATGCACAAGCTTGGAATAATTTATATGAAATTCACTTGGCCCTCACAGCGAACCTATAAGAGAGTTAAAAATCAGGCCAAAAGTCGTGATTTGAGCCCAAAGCAATGTCTGTCCACAGTCTCTGCTCGCTGTTCCAGAACGGAGCACGTCCCTTGTTCTCCCCACCCCTGGCTCATGCTTTTTTTCTCGGGGGGCGGGGGAATTTCTCTCTCTCTGCGTTGGGTGGTTCTGGGCCTGTGGTTTTTAGGCTCTCTTCAACAGTCTGTAAGCTTCTCAAGGTAAAGGGCCACTTCTGTTTCAGTTCTGCCCTCCGCCCTTCCTATCAGCCTGGCGTCAAGCAAGGCCTTAGGGGATGCTTTAGAGAGGGGAATTCTCTAGTACATAAGTGCCTCTGCCAGACTGGAGGCTGTTTGGGGATGGGTCCTGGACTTGGTCACCTTTATGTACCTACCACACACAGGACCTGAAAGTCAGCAGGGGCCTAGTAAATGTGGCTTTGATCATCAATATATTTTGATCACCAACCTAATGCTTTTGTGGAATAGAGGAAGTCTATTGCAAGGCTTAGTCACCCAGTGCCACACTAGTAGTAATATGAGCGTGTGTAGAGGGGGGACCCTTCCTGCACAAGTGCCATAAATCAGAGCTTCAGTTTTCCAATCTCATAAAGACCAATGGCCCCAGCCTGAATGTCTGTCAGTGGGAAGAGGCATTTGTAAGATGATGTGTGTGAACCACTTTTGCAACCACCAATGTTCTAGCAGACGTTCATCAAAAGAACATTAAGAGAGAAAGAGCAAGACACTGAAAAAAGGATATTTTCAATAGCTATATCTGGCAAAGGACTCACATGCAGAATATATTGAGAACTCCTAGAGATCAACAAGAAAAAACCTTTTAAAATGGACAAAAGACAAAAGCTGGCACTTAACAAAAGAGAGAATATCCAAATGGCCAATAAGTATGTGAAAATGTGTTCAATGTCACAATTCAGCAGGGAAATGCAAATTAAAACCACAATGAGGAAGCACTAGAATAACTAAAATTTAAAGTGCTGACAATACCAAGCATTGGGGAAGATGCTGAACAACTGGAACACATTCTTGATGGATGTCTTAGTCTACTCTGGACACCATAACTAAACACCATAGGCTGGGTGGCTTAAACACAGACATTTATCTTCTCACAGTTCTGGAGGCCAGAAGTCCATAATTAAGGTGCCAACAAATTTGGTTTCTGGAGGTGAGGGCCCTCTTCCTGAACTGCGGACGGTCACCTTCTTGCTGCAGTCCTTACAGGATCTCTTCTTTGTGCATGCGGTGTTGGGAGGTACAGAAAGGAGGGCTCTCTTGTGTCTTTTCTTATAAGAACATGAAGCTATGGGCCCATGTCCAGCCCTATGACCTTGTTTAACCTTGCTTACTTCTTTACTCCAAGTACAGCCAACTGGGGTTGAGGGCTTCAATATCAAAATCTTGGGGGACACATATATTCAGCCCATAATAATGGGAATGTAAGTTGTTACAACAATTTTAGAAAACTATTTGGCAGTATCTACCAAGATTAGACATACACCAACCCTATGTTCTAGCAAATTGACGCCTTGGTATACACTCAAGAGAGCTTGAGTGCGATTGTTTATAAAAGTACACATGCAAGAATATTCACAGCAGCTTTATTATAATAGCCCCAAAGTTAAAAGCATCCAAATGTTCATCAGCAGGAGAATAAATAAATAAGATGAATAAATAAATAAGTGGTAGCATATTCCTTCAATGGTTTATTACTGCATAACAAGTTACCCCAAAATTTAGCAGCTTAAAACAACATTTATCGTCTGTCTTAGTGCATTTGGACTGCTGTGACAAAATACCATAAGGTGGGCAGCTGATAAAAGAAATTTATTTCTCACAGTTCTAGGGGATGGGAAGTTCAAGATCAAAGTACTGGTAGATTCTGTCTGGTGAGGGCTAGTATTTTGGTTCATAAATGTTCCTTCTTGCTGTGTCCTCACATGATGGAGGGAGCAAGGGGTCTCTCTTTATACATCTTTTTTATCTTTTGGAGACGGATTTTCAATCTTGTTACCCAGGCTGAAATGCAACGGCTCAATCTCTACTCACTGAAACCTCCGCTTCACAGATTCAAGCGATTCTCCTACCTCAGCCTCCTGAGTAGCTGGGGTTGCAGGCACCCACCACCATGCCCAGCTAATTTTTGTATTATTAGTAGAGACAGGGTTTCACCATGTTGGCCAAGCTGGTTTCAAACTCCTGACCTCAGGTGATCCACCCACCTTGGCCTCCCAAAGTGCTGGGATTACAGGTGTGAAGACACATCACCTGGCCCTCTTTTACATCTTTTGTGTATTTATAGACAAAGTCTTTCTCTTTTCTTCAGGCTAAAGTGCAGTGAATGAGCGTAGCTCACTGCCTCAAACTCCTGAGCTCAAGTGATCCTCCAGCCTCCACCTCCCGAGTAGCTGGGACTATGAGCACGTGCCACCATACCCAGCTTAAAAAAATTCTTTTTTTTTATAGAGACGGGGTTCTTGCAGTGTTGCCCAGGCTGGTCTCAAACTCCTGGCCTCAAACAGTTCTCCTGTCTCTGCCTCCCAGTGTTGGGAGTAGAGGCATGAGCCACTGCAGCTGGCCTTATATCCTTTAAAAGAGTACTAGTTACATTCATGAGGGCTCTGACCCCACGACCAAATGACTTCCCAAAGACCCCATCTCTTGATATCATCGCTGTTAGGCTGTTCTCACATTGGTATAAAGAAATATCTGAGACTGGGTAACTTATGAAGAAAAAAGGCTTAATTGGCTAAGGGTTCTGCAGGCTGTATAGGAAGCATGGTGCTGGCATCTGCTTGGCTTCTGGGGAGGCCTCAGGAAACTTACAATCATGGCAGAAGGCAAAGGGAGAGCAGGCCATGTCACATGACCAGAGCAGGAGCAGGAGGTGGGAGAAGGTGCCACACACTTTACATGACTAGATCTCACAAGAACTCACTCATCACAGGAACAGCACAAAGGGGATGGTGCTAAACCATTCATGAGAAATCTGTCCCCATGATCCAGTCACCTCCCACCAGGCCCCAGCTCCAACACTGGGGACTACATGTCAACATGAGCTTTGGGCGGGACATCCAAACCATATCAATCACCTTGCGGGGTAGAATTTAAACATACGAATTTGGATCTGGGTACACAAGCATCCAGACCATAGCATTAGCTTATGTAGTTTCAGTTTAGTATCTTATATGAGGTTGCAGTTAAAATGTTAGCTGGGGCTGCAGTCATATGTGAGTTGGAATGAGGCTGGAGCATCCACTTCCAAGATGGCTTACTCATGCGGTTGTTGGAAAGAGACTGTGTTTCCCTAGCTGTTGGTCTCAGCTCCTTGCTATGTGGGCTTCTCCATAGAGCTGCTCACAACAAGGCAGCTGGTTTTCCCCAGAGCAAGTGGTTTGTGAACCCCAAATATCTGAGAAATGTCTCAGTCAATTTAGAAAGTTTATTTTCCCAAGGATGAGTGACCGTGACACAGCCTCAGGAGGTCCTGATGACATGTGCCCAAGGTGGCCAGGGCACAGCTTGGTTTATACATTTTAGGGAGACATGAGACATCAATCAACATATGTAAGATGAACATTGGATTTGTCCAGAAAGGTGGGACAACTCGAAGCAAAGGCAGGGCAACTCAAAGGTGGCGGGGGGTGGGCGGGGGGCTTCCAGGTCTTGGGTAGATAGGAGACAAATGGGTGCATTCTTTTGAGCTTCTTTCTTTTTTTCATCACCCAGGCTGGAGTGCAGTGGCATGATCTCAGCCCACTGCTACCTCTGCCTCCCAGGTTCAAGCAATTCTCCTGCCTCAGCCTCCCAAGTAGCTGGCATTACAGGTGTGTACCACCATGCCCAGCTAATTTTTGTATTTTTAGTAGAGATGGGGTTTCACCATTTTGGCCAGGCTGGTCTTGAACTCCTGACCTCAAATGATCCACCCACCTAGGCCTGGGATTACAGGCCTGAGCCACCACACCTGGCCCTTTTGAGTTTCTGACTAGCCTCTCCAAAGAAGGCAATCAGATATGCATTTATGGCATGAGTAAGCAGAGGAGTGAATTTGAATAGAATGTAAGGCAGGTTTGCCCTAAGCAGTTCCCAGCTTGACTTCTCTTTTAGCTTAGTGATTGTAGGGCCCCAAGATTTATTTTCCTTTCACAGGTTGGAGGGAAAGAGTTGCCACCCTACCTTTTATAAATTAATCTCCAAATCATGCATCATCACTTCTGTCTTTTTCAGTTTATTATGAGCTAGTCAAGTCACTAAGTCTAGCCCATATTCAACGGGAGGCAATACACAAGAGTGAGAATAAAGGAGGAAAAAAATCACTGGGAGTCATCTTGAAGGCTGGCTAGCAATCACAGTTTGCTCTATGACTACAATTACTCATGCCATTTTAACATACTAACCACACTCCCCTCCATCCAAGGTCCCCAAAATTTACATTTTAAAAAATCTCATGTAGTTTTAGGTATTACTATCCTACTGTCACATCAGCTTTAAGTCCAGAATTTTGTCTTGTAAATTAGGTCAGATGTAGATGAGGCTTTCAGAGCATAGTTGCATAAATTCAGCTTGTTAGATGAGTGAACTCCAAGTTTCTCCTCAAAGAATCAGCATGTCAGTATGTTCAGCTCTCTTATTCTTTAATTCTCCATTTTAAAGTTTAACTTCCTGTAGTTTCAGTAAACAACCTTTTCCACCAGTTCTAATCAGTAGTTCACATCTGTTCCCCGAGTCTCCTGCTCTGTCCTGACTCATCCTGGACACCTGCTCCAGTCACCTGCTTTGACCCCTGGTTATCTGCTCTCACCTGTCCCGTAACTGTCCTTCCAGCCAAACTACCCAACCTGCCACTCCGGCTAGTACCCTGGCTCTCTTTAAAATAGCCAACTGGAATTAGCCTAGACTGTGCTTTCTAACCTTAGCCAATAGGGGAACAACACAGCTGTAGGGGCTACCTCCAACAGGAATAAGAACCCCTTCCCTTCCCTTGTCCAGCTGTGTGCTCGCCATTGTTCCATCTCTGAGCTGCACCCTTCTATAGAAGTAAATTGCGTTGCTGAGGAAATTTATATTCAAGTGCTACTTCTTTTGCAGCACTGAAAATTTACATATAACAAGCTCCTAGAGTACAATTCTTGATCTGCAGACCTTTGAAGCTAAAGAGACAAGTTATCTGCCCCCATGCCTTCAATATACAATTGTGGGGCAGGCACAGGATAACCACTACAGACCAGTTCCACTACCATTAGATAACTACTACCACTCCTGTTCAAAAAGGGGGGAAATTGGAAGTACATATAAGTTACCAGACCGTAGTAAGTCTGCTATCCAGTCTCAAGGTCTAGGAATAATTCTCCATGACTCCTAGTTCCATCATCTGGACTCTTGGCTTTATGTTCTGAGTCATACTTCCTTTTTCATGAAATGTAGCATGTGTTTGCTGATCAGTCATTTTCTCAGTCTGATTCTTGCTTGTAGAAGTTTGGGGAGAGGGGATCCAAAGGCCGGTTCCTTTCAGTCCAATCCACAATGTTTGTGTCGGTATAATTATCTTTAAAAAACTTTGGATCAGGCTGGGCGCGGTGGCTCAAGCCTGTAATCCCAGCACTTTGGGAGGCCGAGGCGGGTGGATCACGAGGTCAAGAGATCGAGACCATCCTGGTCAACACGGTGAAACCCCGTCTCTACTACAAATACAAAAAATTAGCTGGGCATGGTGACGTGTGCCTGTAATCCCAGCGACTCAGGAGGCTGAGGCAGGAGAATTGCCTGAACCCAGGAGGCGGAGGTTGCGGTAAGCCGAGATCGCGCCATTGCACTCCAGCCTGGTAACAAGAGTGAAACTCCGTCTCAAAAAAAAAAAAAAAAAAAAAAAAAAAACTTTGGATCACCTGAGGTCAGGAGTTTGAGACCAGCCTGGCCAGCATGGTGAAACACCACCTCTACTAAAAATAAAAAATTAGCTGGGTGTGGTGGCATGTGCCTGTAGTCCCAGGTACTTAGGAGGCTGAGACAGGAGAATCACTTGGGCATGGGAGGTGGAGGTTGCAGTGAGCCAAGATTACACCACTGCACTCCAGCCTAGGTGACAGAGTGAGACTCAGTTTCAAAAAAAAAAAACATCAGGGTTTACTCCGTTAGACAAAAGTATGGCCTACAAATCTCTTTGAGATAAGTCCATCTCTGTCTTGGGCTTCTGCTGATAATACTGACTAAACCTTCTGGAGGCCCTTTGGTTTCATTGACAGACTCTGTGAGACACACCATTAATCTGTTTAAGGAGCTGTTAGCCTGACCGAATGGTATTCTGAGGCACCACTTTTGCTTTTTCTGAGATTTTAAAGGATTTTACCGTCACATCTCAGCTTCATCTTTTTTTCTGGCAGTACCCTGGATTTGATACTTGCTAGGAAACTATTTCTTAATTTTACACCATTTGCAATCAGAAGAAGCTGAGGACTTTAAAAATCATCTAAAGTCGTCAAGGTCCATCCCTTTTGTGTTTCGTTGTGCTTACCTCTTTATTTTACTATAAACAGCAAAAAGAAATGAAGGACAGGAGGGAGACTTTCATGGGTGCTGGACATGTCTTACCTGTTGGTCTGGATAGAATACGCATGGTTGTATGGATGTGTACAAAGTCATCAATGTGCACACTTAAAATATATGCACTGTATTGTATTCCTGCTATACCTTCGCTTAAAAAAAAAAAAAGGTTTAATTTGAGCTCCGGCGTGAGAAAACCTCAGCGCGCATGCGTGAGCGTGAACGCGCTAGGAGGCCGGAAACAAAGGTGGATGCGCGTGCACAGACGCGATCGCAGGCCGCCGGAAGCAAAGGCGTGAGCGCGCGTGCGTGCGTGAGCGTGAGCGCGCGTAGGTCGGAAGCGGGCGCTGCGCCGCCGGGCGGTCACGAGCCATGGAGGGTCGCTCCTCAGACCGCGGAGCGTCGCCCGAGGGACCCGCGGAAGAGGCCGAGCCGCAGTGCGCCGCCTGGAGCGGGGACAGCGGCACCGTGTCCCAAAGCCACAGCAGCGCCTCGGGGCCGTGGGAGGATGAGGGCGCGGAGGACGGCGCGCCGGGCCGCGACCTGCCGCTGCTGCGCCGCGCCGCCGCGGGGTATGCCGCCTGCCTGCTGCCCGGAGCCGGCGCGCGGCCCGAGGTCGAGGCCCTGGACGCGAGCCTGGAGGACCTGCTCACTAGAGTGGACGAGTTCGTGGGCATGCTGGACATGCTGCGCGGCGACTCGTCCCACGTCGTCAGCGAGGGAGTGCCGCGCATCCACGCGAAGGCCGCCGAGATGCGGCGCATCTACAGCCGGATCGACCGGCTGGAGGCCTTCGTGAGGATGGTGGGCGGCCGCGTGGCCAGGATGGAGGAGCAGGTCACCAAGGCCGAGGCCGAGCTGGGCGCCTTCCCCAGGGCGTTCAAGAAGCTCCTGCACACGATGAGCGTGCCCTCGCTCTTTAGCAAGTCGTCTCCCTCGAGGCCGCAGCAAGCCGGCTACGAAGCCCCCGTCCTGTTTCGGACTGAAGACTACTTCCCTTGCAGTGAGATGCCTCGGCTCTGACGCCTGACCGCTGCGGCCAGAGGACCCAGCTCGGGGCCCACCTGCAGCGTGAAGCGAATTGCAGATCCTGCTCATGGACATACGTGATGTTGGAGTCTGCAGTTTTAAAATGTACCATGTGCAGACTCTTCTTAGTATATCCATGATTCCCTGTAGAATGTATAGACGTTTTATGTCTTCCAGTTAAAAAAGGAGAGAGAGACGGGGTCTTGCTGTGTTACCCTGGAACTGGCCGGGAACTCCTGGGCTCAAGTGATCCTCCCGCCGTAGCCTCCCCAGTAGCTGAAACTACAGGGCCGGCACCGCGCCCGACCTGGGTCTTCCAACAGGAATCAGAGCTGCTTGGCGACGGCATGGGGAATCAGTGGACTTTTCTGTGCACTGTGGCAAAACTGTTATTTTTATGGATTTTACTACAAGGCATTACCTTTTCAAGATTTATATGTTTGTATAATCATAAGAAAATGAAGCCATTAAAGCCTTGTTATTACTCAGTCCTAATAGTCATCCAGTTTTCTATAACCTACCTTTAGGGTAAATGATATGTTATTTAATACTGTATTAAACTTCCCATAGCACGAATTGTAAACCAAAGGAAATGGTACAGTTTCTGAGAAAATGTATGGATTTTTTGTGACTAGTTCCGAAGTTGTATTTGGACCTATGACCTCACAGTCTTGGTTTGTTCATAACAAACATATCTATTCTTGGATTCCCAAACTTTGGTTTATAATTTAAATATTAATAGAAATTAAGTTTGATTGGAAATGGTTTCCTTCTGAAAAGAACTTTACATATTTCTTTGTGTTTGTTTGAAATGGACATATTGCTCATATGCTTTTGGTAGTGGGATAAAGAAAAGGGGCTGAGCGTACCTCTTAGAGAGCTAATGTGAAAAACTAGCTTCTATTTCAGAGCATGGTATATTTCTTTCCCCTGGAAATGGGAAATGATCTGTGTGAGTGAATGGTGTTAGGATTTTCCTGCGGATACAATAGGCTTTTATGGAGATTCAAATATGTTTTATAAGGGGGCCCAACTAAATAGTAGACCCTAAACAAGCGTACAGCTTAGGCTGCTTCTGTGTCATTTTCAGTGTCATCACAGATGTTTGAGGTTCATAGAGTAGCTGTATTTTCATTAAGCTGTGTATTGTGAAGACAGATCGTGTAATCTTGCACCGAGCTTCCGTGGACCGTCATTGTCACATACTTAACATTTTTATTCAGGTAGTTCATTGACTACAAATCAAGGAACTCCTGAATGTAGACGCTGAAAAGTACAAATAACTTACATTTAATATTCAGCAACTGCTGGTAACTCTATAAGTAATTCATGTCTTTTGATGACATAGCCATTGAATATGAAAATAGCATCCTTACATAACAAATACATTGCTAAAAGATTTTTTCACTTAAAGTTGGTATTAAAAAGCAGTAATTAGGAGCTGGGCGTGGTGGCTCACACCTGTAATCACAGCACTTTGGGAGGCCAAGGTGGGCAGATCACCTGAAGTCAGAAGTTCCAGACCAGCCTGGCCAACATGATGAAACCCAGTCTCTACTAAAAATATAAAAAATTACCTGGGCATGGTGTCGAGCGCTTGTAATCCCAGCTACTCGGAAGGCTGAGCCAGGAGAATCACTTGCCTTGGGAGGTGCAGGTTGCAGTGAGCCGAGGTTGTGTCACTGCACTTCAGCCTGGGCAACAAGAATGAAACTCCATCTTAAAAAAAAAAAAAAGTAATTAGGACAAATTATGAAAAAATAGAATAACTTTAAAACTAAGAGTATCTGCATAATAGAAACCTTAAATTCCAGAGTGCATAGGTTAACAAGTGTGCTATAGAGTAAAAGTTTATTAGGTAGGGGTATATAATGCTCAAGATATTTAATTTACCTTCAGAAAAGTAAATTGGGTTGAGAAAATTAAAAGTATAATAACCAGTAAGAAAATGGTATTCAGCTTAAGTTTTTAATGCTAATCATATAAAGTATTCTAGCAATCCATCTAAAAGTAAAAAGTCCTGGTTCAGGTGATAACTTGATTGTGTGTGCAGCTATCTCTAACGGACCCTGGGTTCTGAAATTCTCGTAGTTAATTGGTGTTATTTCTCAGCTTTTCATATAGAGATTTGTGCAGGGGCTTCTTGGTTGGGGAATTGAAGCTGGTTTGCACAGTGCAAGACATACTAGATGAAGGTTAACTGCCTTAAGAATGGGGATGGGGGGCCAGGTACACCCCCCCACTTGGCACTGCCATGTTTAGACCACCTGGCTCCCTCCTCTTTATCTTAACTCTGACCAGTCAGAGAATCGAGAGGGCCCTCTACGTCTTGGAAAACAGGTCCTTCTGACTCTTCTTCTTCTTTTTTTCTTTTTAATTTGAGATGGAGTTTTGCTCTTGTTGCCCAGGTTGGAGTGCAATGGCACAATCTCGGCTCACCGAAACCTCTGCCTCCCGGATTCAAGCGCTTCTGCCTCGGCCTCCCGAGGAGCTGAGATTACAGGCATGCGCCGCCACACCTGGCTAATTTTTGTGTTTTTAGTAGAAGCAGAGGTTCTCTATGTTGGACGTGCTGGTCTCCAACTTCCGACCTCAGGTGGTCCACCCACCTCAGCCTCCCAAAGTGCTGGGATTACAGGCATGAGCCACTGCACCTGGCTGTTCCTCTACCTCTTCTTAAGTCAATAACAAGTTGGGAGGAGGGCTCGTGCCCTGGAGCTGAGGGAGAAGGCCCAGATGTCATCCTGGATGACCCCCACAGACCATCTCTGCTGCTGGGGTCTGGCATTCCCCCACTTTCTGGAAGTATAAACAGAGACGGGGATAGGGTCTAATAAAGGTTGAGGGAGGTGCCCCACCATCACACTGGCCTCAGTTAATTTGTCCTTAGCTGCCATATGCACAAGCACAAGAACCGCCAAGACTCTCAGGAGTCCATAGGACGTCCCCGCGGTCCAAGGGCCTGGTGTGCAGGAGTCGGCTTATGCACCAAATAGAATTGGCTACGAATAAGCTAGTGAGCACGTGTGGCTTTTCCCTGAAGCCACATCTTTGAGGAATGGGAGGAGTCTTGACCAGGAGCCAGGCAGCCAGGTGTGAACCTGCTAACTGATCTCAGGCAGGGGCCAGCAAAGTCCCAAAAGGGCCAGACAGTCATTGTTTTAGAATTGCAGGCCATATGGTCTCACAACCACTCACTCCGCCCTTGGAGCACAAAAGCAGCCATAGACAATATGCCAGCAAATGGGCACGGCTGTGTGCCAATAAAACTTAATTCACAAAAACCGATATTTCTTGAAACCTGAGACAAACTGAGAGGAGAAAGCCAAATAATGGCCTGGAATTTGCAGTGTTAAACTAACTTGGCTAAAGAGCTGTCAGAGGCCTCATGAGAAGATGAAAAGTGAGTTCCTAAGGAATTTTTCTTGCTGCTGACAGTGAATAAGGATAAAGATGGGCCCAGGATATGGACAGGGAATGCAGGTCACCAGCCTGCCCTGAAAATGAGACCAACGGGTCACAAGCAAGTGGGGCCTAGCTCGGATCATATTTGCCTTGTCACCCCACTTTCCAGAAACTTCTCATGGACTCTTGCCGCAGTATCTTCTAAGGGCTCAGGCTTGCCATAATCTGTGGTTAATAAGAGCCCATATCCACCTCGTCACCCCCGCGATGTATTCCCAGTGCTCTGTCCGTCCCCACTGCTACCCAACTCAGCCAAGCCACCAGCATCTCTCTGGGGCCACTCAACAGCCTAAATAGCCTCCTGCTTCCCCTTCCCCACTCCAAGCCACTTCCCGCATGGAACGCAGCGGCCAAAGGGGTCTATAAACAACCTAAATCAGACATATGGGGCTCTGCCTAAAGCTCTCATTAGCTTCTCCTCACCTTGGAATAAAACCCAATCTCTGTTCTCCGGCCTGACCTGGCTGACCTGGCTCCTGCCCCCTTGCTGACTCCCCTGCAGCCTTCCCTGGACCCTGACAGATGCTCCATAGCATCTTTCCCTTCATATGAGGACACAGGAAGGGGACATTAGGAAGTGTCCCCCTCATAGCGCTTGCTACAGCTTGTGATATGTGTCTGTGTCACTGTCTGATTACTGTCTACCTGACCCACCTCCAGGAGTAACAAGTGGATGTTGACTCTGTCCGCCTGGCTGTATACTCAGCAAGCAGGTAGCGCGTCCCCGTCACACTCACATATCAGTGGAATAAGCGACTGTCAGAATGACTAAGTGAATGAATGACTAGGCAAAATCTCGGCACCCCAAAAGGAATGCAAGACAGAAAGGCAAACATGAGAATTCAGGCAAACTAAGGGCTTGCTCAGAAATCAGGCACCATGGGAGGATGAGGACACAAAAACAAGATGTGGTTCTTTGCCAAGAGCTGGGCAGGCCAGTGGGTGAGAAAGTCAGATGCCGAATCCAATTGGGTCCAACCCAAGGCTCAGCCAAATGCCACACAAGCATTCCCGGGGCTCTAACAGGGCTTCGTTCTTATTCCTGCCCTGGGCATGTTGGTACAGAACTCGCAGAACTACGTTTCTAAGAAGGCTCCTTGTATGTACTGAGAGGTTAAAAAACATTGTCTAAGTCAGGCGCAGTGGCTCATGCCTGTAATCCCAGAGCTTTGGAAGGCCTAGGCCAGAGGATCACTGGAGGCCAGAAGTTCAAGACCAGCCTGGGCAACATAGTGAGACCCTGGCTGTACTAAAAATATAAAAATTAGCCAGGCATGGTGGCTCAGGCCTTGTAGTCCTAGCTACTTGGGAGGCTGAAGTGGGAGGATCACTTGAGCCCGGAAGTGGAAGCCTGCAGTGAGCTGTGATCCTTCCACTGCCCTCCAACCTGGGTGACAGAGCAAGACCCTGTCTAAAAAAAAAAAAAGTTAATTTAATTTAAAAAAACACCGTTTTCCAAAGTGACTGACATCGTTTGACCCGCTAGTGGAGAATGAGAGCTTCTCCTCTTACTGTTCGTCGTCCAAGGAAAGTGAGGGTTCCTGTGGTGGGGTGGAGGGAACTCGGTGATCAAGGAGGACGGAGAATGCAAGGACCCTCTGGCTGTGGGGTGTGGGGTCTGCGGTGGCTGCAGGGACTGCTCCCTCCACAGCAGGGGGCGCTGCAGGAGCGGGAAAGGCCTGAAAGCAGCTGGTCCAGCCCCTGCCTTCGGGAAACTAAATCCGTACGTCCTGCCAGGGTCGCTGGGCACTGGAACTTCAGAGCCCCAAGATTCTGTCCATCCTCGAGAGGCTCCCAGTATGCAGACAGAGCGGGGACGGCAGCTGCAGCCCAAGGCACAGTGGCTATTCTTGCATGGAGCGGGGGAGGAAATTAGGAGAGGGGGCAGAGAGGGTGCTGATTCAGAAGTGCCCTGTCTGGTAGGGGCAAGAGACAAGGCTGTTTATGTCCGCCTGGCTCTCATCTCTACCCGAAAGGAGCACGATCATTTCTTACGTGCAGTTTGTCTGTCTCCCCTGCAAGTAGGAAGATCGTGG